GGTGCACCTTAGTCCTCAAGGTGACAACTTTGCTCTTCAGCACTTTAAAAAAGGTCTTGTGCAGCAGATTTGCCTAATGCAATATGTCATATAACTTGTAGCCATTAATTCTAATACATGGCAACTCCCATGTGTTAACACTGAGCTCCACAGGGCTTTTAGCAGCTGACTTTGGGGATTTGTGTTGATTACTTTCTTCTGAGACACCTCTAGGTGGGCTTAACCGTAGAACTTTTTTCTCAGCAGCTGACTGCAATAACTGCTTGAACCACCTAGGGACTCCTAAAACCAGTTGTTGTCTAATTGAAACTAAATCAATGTATATTGTTATCTCTCTCTCTTTTTTTTTTTTTTTAATGTAGTAAAGAATGATTATAGTTGGATTTTGGATACTTCCCATAGGTCTTCTAGAGGTCACTAGACCTTAACATTTCTGTAATCCAAAAGGAATGTACCATGATACCTTACTCTGTTGACACAAGAATAATTGTTCACAGAATCGTATGGTTACTAAAAGAACATCATTATCTATAACCCTGGAGGACTAGATGGATGAGTCCTATAAATTAATGTAAGGATTTCTCTTAGAAAAACAAAAAGTCATTAAGGGAAGGACAAAATGCAGTAATTGTAAAAAAAAAAATTAAAAATAAGCATTTCTTAGCAAATTTGTACCCTCATGTATTATGTGAAAATAAGACTACAAAGTCCAGAAAAGAATTCAAAACCATATGAGACTTTAATATATGATAAAGGCTGCATTTTTTTAAAAGTTCTTATTGTGAATTGAGTGATAGTTTACATGGAAGAGCATCAGTTTTGCATTAATCCTATTGCATTTAATTTCATTTTAATGATTACAGTCCCCTCCATGCATCATCATTCAATAGTATTTGCTTCTATTCCCTCTGTTTTTGGGGTTTTTTTTTGGGGGGGGGGTGTACACAAAAACACTCAGGAATGTATAATCATTTATACAACCAAAGGGCACATTCTGCAAGTCTGCCTCCTGGTCACCAGCACACAGCCTTTCTCTTTCTATGAGTCTAGAGTCCTCAACTGCTCTTTCTCTCCATGCCATCGCCTCTACCTACATCTCTGGTATTTCTGGTTCTCTGGATAGGGTCCCACATTCCACTCGTTCTCTTCTTCCTTGATGGTCCTAGGGTATTCTGTTCCTGGAATGTAAGATTAACTACTCCCCACTTTATGTCATGAAACTTCTAAAAGGTTGCATTTTTAAAGGTGATAAAATATTGCTTATCCAATAAAGCTTTTGTAGATAACTGGGTGTCCACCTGGAGAAAAACCTTAAATTTCTACCTCAAACCATTGGCAAAAAAATCATTTTTAAAATCCAATTGGATCAAATTTTTTTTAATAATACATAAAATAATAAAAGTACTAATAGAAAACTTAGGACATTTTGCTAAAATGGCAAAATGGAGAATCTTTTTCTAAATAACATGCAAAAATATGTTTTAAACGCTGTATAGGAAAAACACCATTAAGGGCAGTAAAAATGCAAACAACAAATGGAGAAAATATTTAAAACTCATATTCCAGACACTATTTGAAAAGCTTCTAAAACTCAACAAAAAATGCCTTAAACCCTAAAATAGATAAGTGGACAAAAGGATATGTGATGGGAATGGACAGTTCACAGAATTTCTTCAATGTATAAACATGTTGATCAAATTCAGTTCTAGTAAGAAAAATGCAAAAATTTAAATACAATGAACTCATATTTTTAGCCTATCAATTAACACAAGTCAGATAGTTTGATCACACTGTTGGAGACTGTATGAGGAGGTCTATGACATACATTGTTATGTTGTTGTTGTTATTGGGTGCTGTAGAGTTGATTCTGACTTACAGCAACCTTATGCACAACAGAATGAAACACTGCCCAGTCCTGTGCCTTCCTGAAAATCGTTGCTATGATTGAGTCCAGTTAATGCTGCCACTGTGTCAATCCATTTTGCTGGGAGTCTTCCACTTTTTTGCTGACCCTCCACTTTAAATAACCTGATATGCATGCGAAAGCTGGACAGTGAATAAGGAAGAACGTAGAAGAATTGATGCTTTTGAGTTATGGTGTTGGAGGAGAATACTGAAAGTGCCATGGGCTGCCCAAAGAACCAATAGGTCCGTTTTGGAAGAAGTGCAGTCATAGTGCTCCTTGGAGGCCAGGATGGCTAAACTTCATCTTTCATACTTTAGGCATACTGTCAGGAGGGATCAGTCACTGGAGAAGTACATGATGGTTGGTAAGGTGGAGGGTCAGAGAAAAAGAGGAAGACCCCTAACGAGATGAGTTAGCCAAGTGCCAGCATCAAGCGTAGCAATAGTAGTGAGGTTGGCCCAGGATTGGGCAGTGTTTTGTTCTGTTGTGCATAAGGTTGCTGTGAGTCAGTACCGACTCGATGGCACCTAAAAACAACAACAACCACTTTACCAAGCATGATATCCTTCTATAGGGACTGGTCCCTCCTGATAATAGGCCCCAAGTATGAAAGATGAAGTCTCAACGTCCTGGCTTCTAAGGAGCACTCGCCCTCTCTATTTCCAGCACAGATTTGTGTGTTCTTCTGGCAATCCATGGTATATTTAATATTCTTCTCCAGCACCATAACTCAGATGCATCAATTACTCTATGGTCCTTCTCATTCATTGTTCAAGTTTCACATGCATATGAAGTGATTGAAAGTACCATGACTTGTATCAGGTACAACTTAGTCCTCAAACTGACATATCTGCTCTTCAAAGCTTTAAAGAGGTCTTGTGCCACAGATTTGTGTAATGCAACACATCATTTGATTTTTTGACTGCTGTTTCCATGAGGGTTGTTTTCACGAGTGTTGATTGTGGGTCCAAGCAAAAAAAAATCTTTCAAACTTTTCTCCTTTTATCATATTATTTATTAGTCCAGTGGTGATGATTTTTGTTTCATTGACATTGAGGTGCAACCCATACCGAAGGTGCTGTGTTCCTTGATCGTCATCAACAGGTATTTTAAGTCATCTTCCCTTTCAGCAAGCCAAGGTTATATCATCTGCATATTGCACGTTGTTAATGAGTTTTCTCTAATCCTGATGTTATATTCTTCTTCATGTAACCCAGCTTCTTGGATTATTTGCTTAGTCTACTTATTGCATTAGTATAGTGAAAGAATATAAACCTGGTGCACACCCTTCCTGATTTTAAATCAGTTAGTGTCCCCTTGTTCTGTTCGAATGACTGCCTCTTGGTCTATGTACAGGTTCCTCTTGAGCACAATCAAGTGTTCAAGAATACGCATTCTTTACAATGCTGTCTATAGCTTGTCATGATCTATACAGTCAAAAGCCTTTGCGTCGTCAATGAAGCACAAGTAAACATCTTTCTGGTATTCTCTGCTTTAAGCCATGATCCATCTGTCTTCAGCAATTTCCATCCCCTCGTCTAAATCTGGCTTGAACCTCCCTCTGCAAGTTCCTATCCAGTGTACTGTTTGCAGCAGCTTTTGAGTGATCTTTAGCAAGATCTTATTTGTTGTGATATTAATGATATTTTATGATGATTTTCACATTCCATTGGGTCACCAGTCCTTGGAATGGACACAAGTATGGACCTCTCTCAATCAGTTGGCCAGGTAGTTGTGTTCCAATTTTCTTGACACACAGATGAGTGAGTGCCTCTGGTGCTGCATCTATTTGTTGAACGATTTCAGTTTATATTCCATCAAGTCTTGTTGCCTTATTTTTTGGCAACGCCTTTAGTGCACCTTGACCTTCAGTACCATTGACACCTTTGCTGCCTCTTGAAATGGTTGAAATTGCTATAGGAATGTCAATTATTGCCAACTCCATAGACATTTGGTAATATTTGTTAAATGTGGTTCCACATGTAGAGATATATCATGTTTATGCAGGATGGAGTACATGCGTTCAAACTATGAAGTTATTTATTGCAGAATTGTTTGTAATAACAAAACTGAGGTAGCCATACATACTCTTAACAGAACATTGATTGAATACATAATGAGCCACTTTAAAGCTGTTATAAAAGAAAAACAGCCAGCTTATTATGAAAGGACAATGAATGCTAACAAAGTCAAATTGTAGAACAATAGCATATTGTATATACCCACTTTGGTAAAAAGTAAATAAAATAGCATGAAAAATATATGTCTATCTGTATTTGTACACATACCTATGCTTTAGCATATTTACAAACTCTCTGTACATAGAAATCTAAGGAGCTGGTCTTGATTGATGTCTTTGGGGAAGGACACTGTTACTATTCAATGGGAGCATAGAAGCGACATATAATAAACACTGGAATTCCAACTAAAAGTTTGGTGGTTCAAATTCACAAGCTGCTCCAGGGAAAAAGATGAGGTTCTTTGCTGCCATAAAGATTTAAAGCTTCAGAAACTTTATATAGGTTCACTATGAGTCAGCTCCAACTCAGTCATACTTAGCAGCAACAGTAATTACTATTCAATATGGTCCCTTTTGTGCCATTTCTGTCCTCAGTGCCTTACACCTTAGCTGGATAAGCATTGGTCTGCTAACTACAAGATCAGCAGTTCTAACCTCCATCTACTCCTGAGAAACCCTATACAGGGTCACTGTGAGTCAGGACAACCCAACAACACTTAACAACGATAACAAGTTTCCCTTTTATCTTAAAAAATTAACCAAAAATCTCTGCTTTCAGATTGAATGTTATATTTTATTTCCATTTGCTTTAATCTTTAATGTTGGGTTATTCATACATATGGAAGAAATTAATGTAGCTTTCCATTGACTTTATTTTCCAGGACTTTGTTGGCATTAGGATGCCATGTGGGTATATCGGATGAACATGCTGATGAAAAAGTGAAAAAAATGAAGCTACCCAAAAAGTAAGTTGAATGTCTATACAATATCAAACTTTCTTAGGTACAATTTGCTCTTGGCAGTAATTTAGATGTCTTCCTGATACTTAAGCTGTAAAACTCAGGTTAAAAAATGTACACAAGCATGTCTATCACACTGGCCAGATAGGAGAAAAAGCTTATAACATGTTTGGGGTATGTTATAAAAAGTGTGTCTTTCCCTGTGTGCATGTGTGTGCTCACATGTGTGTATTCATATTCCTTACTCATTGTTTGGCTTCATCTATCCCCCTCTAAACAAGAACTGTTTTCTCAAAGAAAATATCCTGGAGGATAATTATGAAGTTGATATTATTACTCCATTTTAAGATGAAAAAAATGAGACAGATAAGTGCTACTAGAGAGTTGTACTGGCTGTGCTCTAGGCCTTTGATCCTGTTGAGCTTCTGCAAAACTCAGCTCTCTCATTTGATAAATGATCCAAGCCATGGCATTTTCAATAACCTCATATGCATGCGAAAGCTGGACAGTGAATAAGGAAGTCCGTAGAAGAATGGATGCTTTTGAGTTATGGTGTTGGAGGAGAATATTGCAAGTGTCGTGGGCTGCCAAAAGAACCAACAGATCTTTGTTGGAAGAAGTGCAGCCAGAGTGTTCCTTGGAGGCCAAGATGGCCAAACTTTGTCTCTCATACTTCAGACATATTGTCAGGAGGGCTCAGTCGCTGGAGAAGGAGATCAGTTTGGTAAGGTGGAGGGTCAGAGAAAAAGAGGAAGACCCCCAATGAGATGGCATGGCAAAGTGGCAGCATCAGTGGTCTCAAGCGTGGCAACAATTGTGAGGTTGGCCCAGGACCGGACAGTGTTTCGTTCTGTTGTGCATACGGTTGCTGTGAGTTGGTACTGACTTGATGGCACCTAACAACAACAACAAAAATGGCATTAGCAAGTCAAAAAGTATTCTTACAAAATCATAGAAACCTTTTTAAAGCCAAAGTATTAAAACGTGAAACAATTGTTTCTCCTTGTCCCCTCTATCTAGGCCTAAGCACTTCTAAGGGCAGTGTTTACATCCAGCTAATCCTTTCCTGAAGAATTCTGTGATCTCTGATTTACACCACATCAAGGCTGTAGTTTTGGCATTCTTGGGGGACTTCAATTGTGTTTATTTTAAATGTTGTTTGAGTTTTGGGGACAAAAAGAAGTCTGAAGGAGAAAGACCATTGCTGTATGGTGGGTAGGGTAAGGTTTCCCAACAAAATTCTTCTAAGACAGCCCTTGTTACCCTCAAAGAATGAGCAGGTACGTTATTGTGATATGGGCAGGGAGATACTGTAAACAACTTTCCTAGCCTTTTTCTCATAGATACAGTTTTCACTGTTGTTAAAACATCTTCAAAATAAGCCCTCGTGATTATCCTTTGAGAAACTCCATCAAAATAATCCCTGAATACCCCAGAAAACAGTCGCCATAACATTCTGAACTGACCTCCCTGCCTTGGATTTAACTGCCCAGCAGATCCCCTTGGAAGCCACCATTCCGATTGCATCTAGTTTTGAAGGCATCGTAATGATAGTAAGAAAAGGGTGTTACTGAAAGAACATGTCTTCAGCCAACCAGTGATCACAGAGACATGTTTAAAAACATTTTGTTGGAAAAAACCCATGTATATATGACCTGGGACTCTAGTAGCACTACGTTGGGACTTACTCTAGTGCTTTTTTCATAGGAAAGCTTTAAGCATTTGATGAAAAATGCTCAGTGATTTGTTGTTGTTGTTATGTCTTGTTGAGTTGGTTCCAACTCACAGTGACCCTGTATAGGGTTTCCAAGGAGTGGCAGGTGAGTTTCAATCACTGAACTTGCAGTTGAAACCTGTCTTGCGGCCCAGTGCTTATCTTACAACACTATACCAGAATGATAGGTACATCGTATTATTAGTGTATATATAT